TCTATATATATAGAGAGAGAGAGAGAGAGAACGCGTGCTTCTCGATCGGGAAACGGATTCCTCGTGAATATTAACAGGCGTTCGTGCGCGCGATGGCAGGCTGGCGGGATTGATGGGGGCGCTGATGTCATCAACGCGTGATGAGGAAGCAGAAGAGGGCTTCATCGATGGCACCAGGGCGGCCATTAGCTGTGGAAGCGCGAATGCGACGCTCTCGCGAATTATTGCCGATTGTGACGATAATCGCTTATATCACGCGACACGCGTGCACTAACACGTATCCTTCGCTATCTCTCGCTCACACACACGCACGCACGCACGCACACACACATACAACACATATAGACATACAACACTCTTCCGCTCGGTCTTTCACTATCTCTATCATTCTCGCTATCTCTTGGTTTCTCCATATGTTCCTCCCCGTCATTCTCCAGCGCGCGCGCTCCCCCCTGTCTCTCTCTGTCTCTCTCTCTCTCTCTCTCTCTCTCTCTCTCTCTCTCTCTCTCTCTCTCTCTCTCTCTCTCTCTCTCTCGCTCTCTCTCGATGTCACTTCACCTCGTTCTCTCGCTCTCGTTCTTTCTCCCTCTGTATGAATGCGTGCGTGTGGGTGTATACGTGCGTTCATGCACATATACACATTTGTTTCATCTCCATAATAAACCAGCAACGTTTGCAAGACACGCCATTCCAACAACGCTTAAACTCTCTAACACGACATTGCATGATGAATTCCACACGATTTAATCCACTTACAATATGTACATACAATCATGCTCACAATAGCACAACGGCATGCAATTAGTGTATTTTTTTCACAAGGTTTCAGAAATTTTATTACAAATTACAAACGATTGGTGTATACGACCGAAACGAAGCGTTAGATCACAAATTACAAGAGTACATGTACGCACGTCATACATTCTAATTCGAGTACATTGCGATCCGCAGTGAGAATCTGTCAATTTGATCAACTTTGTCTCCTTCCGTCTTCGATATTGTTCCTTGGACTTTGAAGACTAATATTTAGGAGGTTATGAGGTTACATTATGATGTCATCAATTATACAAGTATTACCGACACAGCTACAATCAGGTGTCGCACGTCTGTGACGTGACAGATTGGTGTGGTGAAATTGTGACGTGACAGATTGCTGTGGTGAAATTGTGACGTGGTATTACGTTGTTGTATAAGCTTTAAGTTACAGTTTGCAAGGTTTCGACGTCGTGAGGGCCTATATGTTTTAGCCTTAGCTAGGCGGTTGCATTACGATTTGCACCTGTAGTTTGATGAATGGAATCCCACTGGTCGCATGTCCATGTCATGTCCCAGCAGCAGGGTTGGTAGGGGGTGCGTCCTGACTTAACAGGCTCGCTATATTGGTGCTAACTCGGTGATTCTAGTTGCCGAGTACAACCGACGCAAGCTGAAGTACGTTATACGTACTACATGTAAGCCCGCGCACCCACGCACACACGCACACACGCACGCACGTACGCACGCACGCACGTACGCACGCACGCAGGCGTCTAATGTAAGCTCCTCTGCTTCACACCGAAATTCGGATCCGGCGAAAGCGCGATACGAGAAAAATAAACACCATGCTCGTAGCGCGATGTTTACGATCTATGAATCGCCGACGCCGAGACACAAAAAGCAACTCTTACGCGTGTGCATGCGACACGAACGTTTAGTATACGGCAACACGGACACAAAGAAACAATGCTTTGCGTGCGTGACTGTAACGACTCTTATGATTGAGAAATAAGGTGACGAAAAAGAAAATTCCACGAGTACGCGAATCTAAAGGGGAGCTTATGTCGAGCTTGCGAGCCGACTCGACTGGAAGCAACTGGACGTCGAGCAACTGGAAGCGATCGGCAGCGACTAGTTGCGAGTTTGCGTCCAGTTGCCCACTGTTCTATCCGGAGCAACTAGTGGCCGGCAGTCGCAGGCCATCGCGTCGCAGTCGTAGCCGACCTAAGTCCACTACTAGTCGCAGTGAACTTGCAGCCCAGTTGCTTTCCAGTTCGAGTCGGCTCGCGAACGCCCGACATAAGCCTACCCGCTTTAAGGCTTACTGTGTCGAGACACAGGGCGGCCGAAAAAAATCCTACGCCATATATGGCCTACTTAACGCTTTATCATTACGGAACGCTTCCCCGGGACACACGCCACCCCGCTCACTAATCCACACACAAAAAACATTCCTCCAGACTCCCCCTACGCGCGACAATCTACATTTACGACTCGTGGTTATTCAATTCGAGAAGAGGCGCAGCGGGGACGGGCAAGGTATGTGGCGAGAGAGGGGCCACAGGTGAAAGAAGGCCGGCAGAGTAGAAGACCTGAGAGAGACGGGGGCCCCATCAGACGTAAGATGAAACAGAGAGAGAGAGAGAGGATCCGCGCAGAGAGAGAGAGAGAGGATGAGACGAAGGAGAGATGTGAGGAGGAGTAGGGGCAGTAGGTAAGAGGATCAGAAGGAGAGGGGCATGGCAGTCGGGGGAAGAGAGACCAAGGAGCGGATGCGAGCGGACATGTGAGCGGGTCGGAGAGGCGAGAGGGCAGGAAGAGGGAAGCATGGACGGGGACGAGCAGACGAGCGGGCGGAGCAGATCGAAAGGAGAATGGCCGGCGCGATATAGTTTCGACTAGAATGCCAGCTCGGGTCTAGCTTGCGCCTGCAGCAGCGCGCGAAGCTTCTCCGATGACGAGCCTGCACGCCCTGCGCCGGGTCCGCTCTCGTCGCCACTTCGTTCGTCTGCAGAGCGACCAGTTGGGCTATCGCAATCAGACTAGGCTGCTGATTCGAACGGCCACTCCCTAGAAGAAACAAGCAACACATACGCTTAGATTACAACATGTTATACACACGTACATACACACATGTACCACTCTCAACACATGTACATACAGCACAGCAGTAATCCACGTACATACTACACTACATACACACAGTGTAGCATACACACACGCTATCAGTTATATACACTATGTACAGTACACCACGTACATACACACATGTACATTACGCACGTACATACACACGTTA